GGAAGTCGTGCATTTGGTGCGAGATGAATGATTTTGCTGGTTCCAGTTCCTCTCTAATATCAAATGAAATACGGACTTATTGTTTTTCTTTTTTTCTGGTTTCTTACTGTCCGAGTTTTCTATTTTTGTTGTTTCATTGATTATTTTCGAGGAATTATTTACAATGTTAATTTCTGATGCGCCTTCAATAGAAGAACTGTTACTTGAAAGGGCACGTTTTATACCTCCGACAATAGGAATTTTGAATAATATTTTTTCTTTTACTTGATTAACGGATGGATTATTTTGCATTCTCTCTGTATTTTCTGAGGGAATAACCTCTAAAGTGGAAGAAGGAGCGACCTGTTGGTGGATGATTTGTAGTTCTTTGTCGTTGACACCCCTGTTTTTGACTAGATGTCCTTCTTCCTTACAAAGGAAGCAGGTTAATTTCTCAGTTGAGATATATATCCAGTACAAAGTATTTTCATAATTTATATCGATTGCGCTTGGCAGTTTATTTATATCTTCTGGCTCAATATACACCTGTCTCCTGAAGCTGAGTACATGAGTATATCCAGGGTCGTTCATTCCTGCTTTAATGAAGGATATTTGGGATTTTCTCGTGACGTTCAATTCCAATAATTTGCCTTCAATGACACTGTGTGGAATGATTGGACATACATTGGATAGTATTACGCGTTTAGCTTTGGAAACAAGTGGCCGTAATTCGAGAGCGTGGTTGTTTACGTTTACGGTCTTATATGAGTGGCAAAAGCAAGTTGTCTACCGTTGCTTCACTGCTTAGGTATAAACAGACCCTACCGTGAGATATTCTAGAAACAAAGCGAATATTACTGGGATCTATTAACTTGCAAATAGTCATTGTATAATCTTTAATGGTTAATCCTTCTACTGCATCTGTAACGATGGCTTGTTCTTTTTTTGGAAAACTAACATTCTGAGTTACTTGAGCGTATGATTCTTTTGAGGAAGACATTGTGGTGTTGTGTACTGTATTGTTTAACAAACTTTGAGGTTGAGTATCTCCATTAATGGAGACACTCATTTATTTGCACTGATGCAACTTAGATACAGGAACTGTATCTGGATTTGAAAAAATCTATAACTATCGCAGCACTTTCACTTATTAGAGAACGGCCAATATAGTAGAATTTTGAACACGTAAACACGAGTGACACGAAACACGTCTGTATCATACAACGTTTACTCGTGGACTCCTCATTATTGGAGTTAATGTGACAAAATCGCGAGTAAATGTTTCTATTATAATTTAATAAATTTAAAACTCATAATAAAATTGCAGTTATAAATAAAGCAGGACAATCAATTTGAATATGAAATCTATTTGTTCCGTCACTAGGATAGATGATTTAAAAAATGTAAAAATGATGGAGTGGTTAGAAATTCTGTCCAAAATGAATCACACAGTACTGACACCCTTCTGGTGTAATTCGGATTTATCTTCAAGTCATTAATGGGCATAAATCTACTCCAGGACGCCGGATGAAATCATTGAATCCGTTAAATATAGTGGTCGCCGGTCGTAATTACCAGAATTAGACTGTCTAAGTGAACACTCCGGATAACCAAAAGCGATAAATAGAACGTGCCTCATTGACTTTCTCCTTTTGCAGATTATACGAACGTAAATCGCATTTAATATGAATTAATAACAAAATTCTATTAAGTCTAATTTATGCTTTACTTTTATTGCTTAAGATAAAATAAAATGCAATTAAAATTAAACATATTTAAACGGTACGCAAATGCAGCTTGTCATCGATAATAAAATTCAAACTGATATGATAAGATGGTTATGGTTGATGGTTGGAGACAATTTTAAATAAATATTATAGTTGTAACGATGTGGATATATTGATTCTATCCACAATTAGGATTTGCACTCATTTCTGTGATACATTTGGAATTATGTAATATGTCTGTTGGACTATATTATTTATTTAATATTTATTCATTTATTATTCATTTCTATAAGCACGTCATTATTTTTGTATTTTATACATAGCATTCTAATTCATTTTAATGGTAGGTAAAAATATAATCTAAAGTACAATAGTATGCAACACTTTATGTTTATATCTGTACGTAGAAAGATATTACATAATAATGAAAATAAAGACATGGTTGCTCAGACCAAGGGATAGTTTAATTTTAATCAACAAATAAATAATTACTTAAGTCATGATTATCAATAATCTTCATACATTAAATTCACTTTTAATACTGATGACAAACTATAATGTATTTTACATATCTTCTTCATTTGGTTAATTTTAATTGCATTACGTTAAACTGAAGAGAATTCAAAATGAAGGATCAAAAATGTTGTAGTCTGTTTTCGACTTGTTTTCGATAACTATATTTAGCAAGCAATATCTTATAGGTATATCAACTTCAATTTGTTTTGAAATATTCATTTTATTTATTCATTATTTTCCGTTGGATCATGAAATCAAATCAGGAATTGAATCGAACTGTAGAGAGGATAGACACTCGATTGGATGACTAACTGCTGAACTTTTATCGAGGCCACAGTTAGCAGCAGATAAATATAGTGACAGACTTTTATTTGCTTTCAGCGATAGAACTTTTGAAAGCAAACTCGGTAGTGGCAATAATCGTTGAATCGATAAGAAATCGAATCCCATTCGATTATAAATTGTCCTCGACATTTTTAGGGGTATATAAACGTCCTATTTATTATATCTTCCAGCGCCATAGATGCCATATAAATAAGAAACATAAAAGTCAGTTTTTCTTTTTAATACTTTTAACCGTTTAACTGGATAAAATGAGAAGAGAAATGTATAAAGAATTTTTATAGCAATTTAAATATTGTAATTAAATCAATAATCAATAGACTTTTGAATCAAAAATGATTTTAATCCTCTTCAATGTTTAGTAAATACAAGTGGAATTAAAATAAAAATAAAAAAAAAGTATAATGATTAACACTAAAATTACCAAGCCTGTAAATTTGACCCATGAACCTTAAACTTCTTTCTAAAGTCACTCAATTATTACCAATTCATTTAATGGAATATATTATATTGCAGTAAATAAGTTATATTGATAAATTAGTCTACTCCAATTACTAAAATATATATGTATATACAGATATGTATTGAACCCAGTAGTTTTACTGTTTCGAAGGAAACGATTATCACAATTAATTTTCGAAAACTATTAAATGACACCAAAAGATGGAATACAATATCAAATTCTCTCGTTATTTTCGCACCCGTTATCAAAAGAGCCGTTTTGAAGACGAACCAAAATGTTTTCAAACCAATTGTATCGTTTTGTGCTGCTGGCTATTTCGGTGGAACTATTATTATTATTAATAATTAGAGGCCAGCAATATGCAGCAAATTAAACGACTCATTTAAAGTTTCGCAAACCGATCCTGGCTTAATTTTCACGTTTTATTCTAGAAGGCTGGCAAACTGATTCTTGCACTTTTCCTTTCTTTTCCCCGTGAATGTGGAACGCGTCCCGTCACGTCAGTTTTCGATATTCCGTCGTATGAATGACGCATATTTTTCAGAAACACTAAAGCCACGGCAGCTGGCGAAATGGCTTTTGTCTAATTTGGTACGAAGCGACTTTAAACGGCCACGTCACCTCAAACGTTAAACTCGTTACGATCACGATCGATTTAATCTACTCGCTCGCGTTAACAATGGAAAATTCGAGGAACCTGTTAATATTTTCCATGTGCAATTTCTATTTCCGTCAGCAAAATCATTCTTTGCGAAATTAAACAACTTGTCGCAGTCATTAATATTTTTCTTTGTTTAGTTCTAGTTTTATTTATTAAAGAGCGGAGTTGACAAATTCAATTATTGCACTATTTTTTTTACAAAAAATTACATTCTTTTACTGTTTTACAATATCACGATGTTTGTAAATTATCTTATACCCTATGATAATTCTTTGTACTTCTTATCTTAACTTCATTGTTTATTACCGCTGTTGGAAAATGCAACGAAATAACTTCAAAGCAAATTAAGCAACATGCTTACGTACACGACTAAAACGTGTTTGACTAAAAAACAAACTCCTAAAGTCCCTTTTGGAAAGCCTTGTATTATACAGAATTTATATTTTCACTTCTAAAATCATGTTTCTGTAAAATTAATTCCGCTAATTATAGCGGAACCATGATTTTATGTTTTAATAGGCGTATAATGTGTATTAAATATTCGTGGTATCATATATCTTGGCTAGAATGTAATTTATGGCTATGCATCGACTACGCGATGCGTTGATAAACATTGGTGTCGATATCGTATCCACAGGTCAGGGCGAACAGTTTGCACCTGTTTGTTTGAACAGGTGTGTGGCAATATTTCATAATCGTAGAAAGGCTATGCCTTTAGAAGTTGATTACACAGTTGATGTAATTGAACGAAAAATTTGAAACAAATATAACGACAATAAAATATTAATTACAGTGAGATTAATGGTATGTAGTGTTTTATATGTACCGTCGATATCGATCAATAAAATGTTGTAACTAATTTGTTGTTACAGGTAAATGAATCAGAATTATTAATTTCTAATTTGTCGTCTCTACAACGAAATTTTGCAAGTTTAATTAATAACAACAAATGAAATGTTATTGACGTCAACATGTGACAAATATTTACTAATACAAATTACTGTAGACGTTTAAATGATACATAATATTATTTACTGTAAACTTTCTAATTAGTCTAAATTTTAAAAGTACGAAATTTAAAGCGATTTATCTTAATTTTTTAAAAATTGTTTTAAATTTAAAATAATTAATCGTAGCCATCGAAATTATTTCAGGAGATAAAATCGTTTGAGAAATTTAAAATAAATATGAAATATAACGTGGCTACTGATTAGATTACTGTGCCTAACCATATTTAATTAATTTCGAGACTCGAAAGGAAATGTTTCTCTGAGACTTGAAATTATTTAGACACCCAGATACCTGTTTCTTAACTAATAACAAATAGCTAAACTCGTAATGTACTCACGTTATCATTTTGAAGCAAGCTGTAGGAATTGTTTGAAGGTCCTGGACTGGGTGACGTAAGTTCCGAAAGTTTGCTAGGAGATAATTTTTCGTTGTTTCCACCCTCTGCGCCGTCGCTGCTTCCGCTGCCACTGAAAATCAAAAACCTTTAATTGAAACATGTTCCACTTCTTGACAGTCTACGAGATTATATTCGTTCAAGGAATTCTTACTTACACCATTAAAAGTAAGAAAAGAATCGCGTTCTATTTATGGCACGTTTGATATTCCAGACATGTAATTAAATGATTAGCACTTCACATTAATTTCCATTGTATTTATTGTTCCGTAAGTATACTTATTAAAACATTTGAAAACAGATTTTTTCTACTTTTTAGTCCACGAGATTGATCAGTTAGACTTTTTAGCGAGTCATAGGAAAGCTGGAGAGAATGCTCCTGGATGGAATTTATGTTTGGTGATTAAAATGTGTGGAAAAGGTTATTTCATAGATTGATGGGGATTTTGTATGACATTAATGAACTATTAATAGCACTATTATCGGGAAAACGTATTTTAAAACAGATAAGACGGATTTCTTTAACGATATAAACATATTATTCAGGTACAGTACTCATAGTTGTATGCGGTAGCATATGTGCCTCTCAGAAGCCAAACTGATGAAAAAGAGGAATGTTATTATCAATCATAAACTAAATTCCATTCACTCATCTCTAAATAATTTAACAAAATAATGTTACTAGAACTCCCATCCATGCTTTCACTGTAATGATACTCAAGCTTATAGAAATCTTTAGACATTGAGGAACATATTTATGTCAAAAATCAAAATTTTATACCATTCCAATATGTGATAATTTGTGTAACAGTCATAGATATGCATTGATAGTTTCTATCTTTTAAGTTGCAATCTTAGGCTTCCTTGTCCATCATCACAAATTGCACCATCTCATACAAAATATGTTTCCACATCTTATTTTCTTATGCAAATGCTCGTTGTTGCTTTTTTAAGGTGTAGACTATTCACACATTCCTTTTCCGCGTAACACAGGCTCATATTTGTTATATATATATTTTAACACGTGTACCATAGTTTTATTTGATTTTTCGTGATATTTGAATAAAAACCTTGAAGGGATTCTACATTTTAACAAATTTTACGCTCCCAGAAGTTTATCTTGTGTAATCATTAAACTGCGAATCTTTATGAAAAATAAAATCGTTGCGAACGTGCCTAGAAAAATTGAACCTAAATAGAAATTTATTTTAATCTGAAAATATTATAACATAAACTTTACTTTCAATCTTTTTTATATTCTTGCACATTGTTTGCATTTTGTAGGTTCTTGCACATTCAAATTTCCAATAAATGCATAAAGATCCGCAGTCTAGTAATTACTAATAAAGTTTGTCTAGACTTGTCCCCTCAGAAGAGACATTCGAATGCAAAGGGTTAAAGGTCAGAGTATCTATAGAAGCTCCCTTCACTGTCGATTTAGTTTCCTATCTCCTAAACCATCCACCGATAGCATTGCCATCTCAAAAGCGCGTTTTACGACGAAAAAAACGGATTTCCCTCACATCATGAACATCACTCGGTGGCAATCTTCATGGCTCCGTGTAGCACACGTACGCGTCAGAGCGAACAGCTGAACGATATCAGCGAGGACGCCACTTAACGCGATCCACGCTCGGGTTTCCTGATTCTTCGATCAATTCGCCTCGAACACGACCAAGTTTCTCAGCTTACGTAATCACTGTAAAGCGCGACACGATCGGTTTCGCGCACTTCGTACCGGTGAACTTTAGCCGTCGCGGTCGGACCGTGGCCGTGCACAGTTTGCGAAAAAACCGTCGTCTGAAGGGTCTTCTAGCCAGCGAGGATCGGTACTAGCGGCGAGGCCATAGCCGCGGCAGGTATTATTAAAACCTAACAAGTACAAAGTGAGTCGGTCGGTCGACCGGTTCGACGGTGCCACCAGCATAGTATTTAATTCTTCTACAATGTTCAACCTATAGCCGACGACACTCTTTCCGATCCCGTTGCTATGGCAACGTTGTCCTTGACCTCCAAGAACGGGGTCATCTTTTTCATTCCAGCTGCTCGTTTTGCCGCGGAGAACCGTGGAGATGCGGTCATTGTTGGGAGGTGGGATCGAGAGACGTGCCCCGCCTCCGCCTGCCATGGACCACGGACACGGCGAAACGCGGATGAGACGTGTACAGGGTGGTCATATTAACCCTAGGTTTACGGAGGCTCCAAGTATCTTCGCTACATTTTCTTTTTTTTTCTCCTAATTACTTTGTTTAAGGTCACATCAACTACATGGTTATCCAGTGGTCACGTTAATATCTACAATTCAAATCTTCAATTACAATTTATTCATTATTTCATATTTCGTTAATACATGATATGTCTAAAGCGAAACCGAACTTTTGCTCTAAAATTTTTTCTAATCGCGCCATCTAGTTACAGATAATAAAAGACAATAGGTTGAACGTTAATTGTTGACCGTGCACGGTATCGTTTGAATCCATCTTGTATCGAAATCCATTGTCTATGTTACCAAGCACGAACAAGTAAAAAAAAATAGAAATATTATTTTTGTCCACATTTGCCTATCATTCGCCGCACTGTGCGCTTGTTGGAATACCGGGATGGAACGCTAATATTAAGTTCTGCGTTAAATTGAAAAAGACTTTTACCGAAACGCTTACGTTATTAAAACAAGTGTATGGGGATGAATGCCTAAACCGTACATAAGTTTACGAGTGGTTCATTCGAGAGTCCATTGAAGACGAAGTTGGATGTTGTTGCACGACAATGCGCCTGCACACAAAGCTGCAATTGAGCGTCAATTTTTGGCTTAAAAAGGCATTGTTACCTTTGATCATCCACCCTACTCGCCTGATTTGTCATCCTGCGATTATTTTCTTTTCCCAAAATTGAAAATTCCAATGAAAGGGACACATTATAGCAACGTTTCGGAGATTCAGGCCGCTGTAACCGCCGTATTAAACGGGCTACCAAAACAGGACCTGCAAAGGTCCTTCGAAATGTTAATTACGCGGTCTACAAGCTGTACTGACGCAGACGGAGATTATTTTGAGTAAATGAACGTGTGTGTAAAAACTTTTCTTGTACTTTTTTTCTTTTCATAGCAAAAATTCGGTTTCTTTTTAGACAGACCGTGTATATCTACTAGTATGAGAAATTCGTTTCTATTGTTGAGAATCGTCTGCATATTATTTAAAAGTTGCATATTGTTTAAAGACGGCCCTAGTTACAAGCACGTTACATTGAAAGTAATTAATTATGAAACGCACGATTGCATGAAACACACATTACGGGTCAAAAGTGCGAAACCACTTTATTTCTTCTAGCTTTCTACGACTGACATACGTAATAAGCTTAAATCCTTGACAGCCATCCTACGCCTACGTCGAATATAAACATTTAATATTTGTTTTACGATGGCAACACACACTTGCAGCACTGTTTGTTAGTCAAGGCGCCTCTAATACGTAGAAAGTAATTTTAGATGTATGTATGTACATACATTTCGTAGAATGGATGATAAAAGGTCTTCTGATCTGTTATGTACTTATTTAGTCAGAACTATCATTTAAATTCTAAAGTAAAATTGTAGTTTACGTTAAACGAAGAAAGTCGTTCCGTGTAACTGTATATTCGATGCATTAAACGGTGTAAACAAATTTCTGATGGATGTTTTTATTTATTATCTGTTATTTGAATCACGTTTATCTTCTATGAATTCTGATAAGTCTATGATTGTTTTAGTTTTATTATTTCGTATTTGCATCCACTGTTGCATTTTACGTAGATATCTCAAGAGTCGAGCAATTAAAGTTAGTTCGACAAGCTGTGTCAAGTGTTAGCTGAACCGGAAAATAATGTCGCTTTTGCAATTTTAAATACTTGTTTATCGTTCATCAACTCATTGATTTTTATCGATCTGACAATTTGCACACTAGATGGCAAAAGGCTATTGATAACGGGAGCGATTATACAATTAATAATTAAAAATAGAAATTTATAAAAAATTTGTTTGAATTTAATGTAAAAGAAACGACATTACTTTCCAGCCTACCTAATATTTAGGTGAACAGAAGCTTTGAATGTTGCATGTATTTCTCTACTCTCAAGTTTTAATAGTTTGACCAGTAATGGATGCTTTATAAATGTGAATCATTTCCTTATCATTCTATAAGAAAGCTTTTTATACACTTCATTGTCTGATTTTATAATTCTTTCCGTACAATATCACATCTCCAATGGAAAAAATATACTTCAATATAGATAGGTTGCACCGAAAATTCAATGATTTTTTAACGTACGATTTTCCTGAACATAAATATAAACAAACTGATATGTTTAGCAGAATTCGAAATTGTAATAAGAAATGTATAAAAAGAGAAGCAATTAGGTAAAGGTAATGATTGTTCCCCTTATAATAATAATCCAAACCATTATTGAATATACACTCATTTATTTACATTGGTCTGTTGAGTCAACTTTAAAACCTTTACTATTTTATTAATAAGCAATCCTAGCCTGTGTAACGATCCCACAACATAATAACTTTATCGCTCGAGTTATTATTTGATTAAACTAATAAGTTAAATTAATAAGTGAGGCTTTTTTAGCGACGCGTGCTATATTTCTGCTACACGATTCAGTCCTTGTGCATTCAAACCGAACTCCTCGACTTAACCTATCCTGCAGTTACCCTTTACTGGAAGATACTGATCCTGCAAGCTATCTGATTATCGCATCGGAGTCGCTGCGATTTTTAACCGACTTCGAAAAGGAAGAGGTTACTCAATTCAACATGTTTATATATATA